TGATGTATAACAGTGAAAATTGGTATACAAGGGTTTTTTGGTACGACAAACGAACCATGGACATAGCTTTACGGTAGCCGCTAGAGGGCGCTCTCTACTGTACCTGTAGTGTATTAAAATGACCGAAACATTTTTCTTAATGCGATTTTTTGATTTTTGAATAAAAAACTGATTCTTCGCACTTTTCTGCATAAAAAAGCTCTCCTATGAGTTTTCGTCAGAGTTAGCCGTTTTTGAGATATTTCGATTTTTAAGGTTCGATGCATTTTTAATTATTTATGGGAAAATAATATTTTTTTTACATTTTCGATTTGGGCATTACAAGTAATTAAGATCATCGTTTAGATTGTGTTTTTAAACACAGCAATAATTCCTAACTCCAAATAAACATAAAAAACAGAATATTAATTTGTTTAATTTTCCAATATTATTTTTAACAAATTAAATTAATTATTTACAACCAAAATGCTATTGGATAGTTAGGACAAACATACAAAATCTAAAGTATTTGCTCGAAATGTAAACCCAATTGTTCAATACACAATTCACATCTACGAATGATCGAACGTGGTATAGCATTATTCAAATAAAGCCTTATTGCATCACATGCATTCCTGATTCTGTCTATTAGCATATCTCTTGTGGTTACGGGAGTCTGGTACACTTTTTCTTTTAGAAATCCCCACACAAAGAAATCTAATGGATTTAGGTCAGGGGATCATGGAGGCCAGGCGACTGGTCCTCCACGGCCAATCCATCTTTCTGGACAATTTTCGTCCAGCCAGTTTCTAACTATTCTCGAATAATGAGCTGGACAACCATCAAGCTGGAACCAGGCCAATCTTCTTAAATCTAACATAACATCATCCCACATATTTGCATGTTCAGCCTTTAAAAATTCGCAGCATTGAACCTTGCAGGCAAAAGGTAGGGCTCAAATAGTCGATTACGGTAGATACGAATCCACATGTTCACACTAAATTCATGCTGAAAATTTCTTTCCCGAACTGCATGCGGATTTTCATGCGACCAAATATGTTGATTATGAAAATTTACCACTCCACGTCTAGTGAAGCATGACTCATCGGTCCATAAAACGTTACTTAAAATTTCCCTATTATTATCAGTTCTATCAAGAGTCCACTGACAAAATGTGATTCTTAGTTCTCCGTCCCCTGGCTGTAGTCCTTGCACAGGTTGCAAATGGTAAGGACGTCTATGGTCATTTCTAAAAACACGGTGAACATGGCTTGCTGAAATTCCCAAGGCACCAGAAACTCTCCTAACACTTGTGGTCGGATCTCTACCAAACTCACGCAGAATCATACGGGTAAATCTGCGCTGAGGAACATTTATGTTTTGATCCCTTTGGAGATTTCCAAAACCATTTTCAATTATTTGGCGATGCACTCTTACAAATACTGAGCGAATTGGATGTCGTCTGTTTGGAAATCTTCGTGTGTATTCTCTGACTGCTTCTGCTGCGTTTACATTTACAAAGCCATATACAAAATGAATATCTGCTAACTCTTGATTGGAGAATAAAAATGGCATTTTTATGAAACTTACAAAAATAAACAGGTAAAAGAAACTAAATTTCGTGCATTCACAATTGCAAAAAACGTTTCAGGTTTCAACAGACAACAAAACTAACTGTCAACTAATTGACGTTTAACCTTGGTCTGCTTTCAATTTCAAAAATATTTGCAGGCACAGCCTACTTCTAAAAATTATCGAGATACTGACTTTTTAACGTTATTTATTTACATTTCGAGCAAATGCTTTAGATTTTGTATGTTTGTCCTAACTATCCAATAGCATTTTGGTTGTAAATAATTAATTTAATTTGTTAAAAATAATATTGGAAAATTAAACAAATTAATATTCTGTTTTTTATGTTTATTTGGAGTTAGGAATTATTGCTGTGTTTAAAAACACAATCTAAACGATGATCTTAATTACTTGTAATGCCCAAATCGAAAATGTAAAAAAAATATTATTTTCCCATAAATAATTAAAAATGCATCGAACCTTAAAAATCGAAATATCTCAAAAACGGCTAACTATAACGAAAATTCACAAGAGAGCTTTTTTATGTTGAAAAGTGCGAAGAATCATTTTATTTGTTCAAAAAGCAAAAAATTCCACTAAGAAAAATTTTTCGGTCATTTTAATACACTACATGTACAGTAGAGAGCGCCCTATAGCGGCTACAGTAAAACCCATGGTTCGTTTTGTCGTACCAAAAAACCCTTGTATACCAATTTTCACTGTTATACATCAAATATTGTTCGAAATATTTAAAAAAAACTATTTTAGAAAGTAAATTTAAACACCCTGTATTTCGGAAACCACGCATTTTTCGACCCATATTTATATAGACTTTATGCATTAATTTTAAAAGTTCTATCGAATCTTAAAGTTATGCAACAATAAACTGAAACACCCTGTATATATACATATATATAGGTAACTTTTTCTTCATATGACAGAAATGACTTGTCCTCCCGAGGATGCAATGTGCTCAGCATCCCAACTCTGCCTCTCGGCACAAACGTACAGAATAAAGGAAGCAGCACTGGTGCCGAAAGGATAATATATTTTACCTTTGCCGTAGAGACGCGTCTGAGTTGCACGACATACGTCCAGGAAGAAAGTTACTTGAAATTTGAAATCCCTGATGGAAGTTTTACCTTGCTATTATTGCTTTTTCAAGCGCACAACAGTCGACGTCGACAAGTTTCCGGGAGAAAAATGAACCGAACGCGTTATGAGTTCACTTCTCGCTTCCGATGTGTCTTCTGCAAGAGCGTTATTTGACTGCCTCAGAGATACTTACTCGTAATATATTTGGAAAGATTATCGATTGAATGTTGTAATAGATTTATCTATTTCGGGCTTTTGCGCCCTTAGTAACATAACTTGATTTCAGGATGATTAACCTTATTCTGTCTAAAAATGTATGTTGATAGGTACTGCAAGGTACCTGGACATTCCTCTGCCTACCGCAGCATTTCCGGTGAATTATATTACTTGCAATACCTAACAAGTTTCTAATAACAATGTATTATACTCTGTCTTTAAAAGACTTTTTTCTAATTCGGGATAAGCCAAGCAGGTAGTTTCCAAAGTGTTCGGGGAAAAAAAGGGATGCGGCTACCAAATGATCTTTGAATTGAAATCGTCATTTGCATACTTCTAATGCGGCAACTCGGCGATCGTGACTACTATTATTACGTCGTCTCCTTTTATTGCCTTGGGGTTCAGTGAAAATACTTTTGGCTTCATTTATTATGCCATCAATTTTATTTATCACATCGACAATACATTTTTCAAAATTTTCGATAGCCGTTTTAACTTGCGCTGGCTCGGTTTTTCTCTTCTGCAACTGGTTGAACAAGGCATGACATGATGAAAAAATGTCAACCAAAACACGAAAACAGAATCGTTTAACATACGGCGAATACCGCAAGCTGCCTTGCAAACGGTTTCATTAGTAATATTTTCTTCTATTTCTTCCATGCATTCAATGAGTAATTCTCTGTTCTCAAACACTACATTTATTGTTCCGACTAAGAAAAAATGTATTCAAATAATTTGATAACTTTAGTAAAATAAATTCAAGAACTCAAATTCAAATTCGTTATTCATGTCAATAAACACAATTATGTTTACAAGGGTCTTGTGGTACATGGTAACAATTGCACCAGGGTCATAAAATTATCTTATGCCGTCAAAATAAGAGGAAACAGTTAGTAAGGTAGTTTTTGCAAAGCAATAAACAGGTAGGCTTATACCTGGATTAAGTACATTTCTTGTCTACTGTAATAGGTAGATGGAGGCGATGCTGCCAGAAATGGATTTGTGCGATCAATAAACAAACCACAAGATTGAACTGCCGTGTCCAATGATTTTTGTGTTGCCTTTTTCATTGCCTTACTAGAAAACTCTGTTGGGTATATGATGGAGTTTACTAGAACTTTACAGCTTGTTGTCTGCCTTCTTCTACAAACTTCACCAAATCGAGACGCTGTCAACCTTATCCTCCGATGAAGGCGCGACAAAGTACAGTCCTGTGATTTGGTGACTTGTTCGATCTGCAAAATCTCGTCGTCACTTTTTTTAAGTTTTTTTAAATTCCTGCTTAGCAACCTTGAAATCAATGTCGCTCATGTCAGGTCTTTGTCAGAATTCGCCATAAAACCATTCATTTTCTTTAAACTCACTGCATTCGTGATTAAAATGGTCGCATATGACCTTTTATTGTCCATTATCAACCTTGATAAAAAAAGGCACTCAAGAATAATCACACCAACAAGAGTACAGGACAACAATTCAACAACACAGTATCGACGAACAGTAACAAGGGGAGAAAAATACTAAATGATCACTTGCTGAGTACCAAAATAGGAAACCATTTACATGCTAGATCGCTAATCGAAATCCGACTCTGTTATTATTATTTCCTCTTTTAAAGTAGCGCCGACAACCGTCTAAGGCCAGCCCATCGTCGTTTCCTTTTCACCCCCCCGTTACCTCAGCAGGTGGTGCTCGTCATTGTAGGAGCGCCGTTAAGTACACTCTTTACTTTTGATGTTGGATGGTCGGTTATTGAAACTATTTCAGGGCTATTAAGACATTGTGTGCTGAAGGGTAAGAAGCCCAAATCAAAATTATAGGTCAGGGACATTTTGTTCGTTCAGGGTCATCTTGCAACTGCAAGTGAATGGATGCAATTGCCTTGCAGACAAAGCAATGCCGTCTTGCAACTGTTAAACGGTTTTAAGGCCATTATAATGGTATGATCATAAAGACCTATTTCCAACTGAAGTTAATTGCAAGTACTCTGAAGCGTTTATTCCAAAATTCGCCAGTAATAACACCTTCCGATACAACGAAACGGAAAATTGCCAGACCGGTTGCCAAACAGAGATATATTGGCTGGCAAGGTTGTTATTTCGATGCAATGACCCAGCTATTGATTTTAATTAATTTTCCAGGTAGATTGCTGAAGCGTGAACGCTGCATATTCGCTGGTGCATCCGTAATGAAGACTTTTGTGACTGTAATCAAGCGTGAAGAGGAAATAAGCCACTGTGCAGTATACAAAGAGCTGCTTGCGAATGATGTATAATTTTGAGTCGAAAAAATACCTGGGCGTTGCTCTTCCATTGATTCCAAGGAGAGATCTATTCTCAGACGCTTCAAAAAATTCTGTAAATATGGCTCTTAGGCTCAATTTTAGTATTGACCAGTGAGAAACATGATCTGCGCTTACGGCATATATAACAAGGCGTGGGTCTAATATGCGAGTAAAAGTAAAATGTCCCTCAAACTAGAGAAAAATTTATACGAGACTCGTTCAATTGAAACCCATCTTCGGTCATGTTAGCCTTGGAAGCAATTCTAATCACTCAATTGACGTTTTTCAATGTTAGTTGGATTTGTAAACGTCAGTCACACAAACTGTAGTGGTCATTATTTGTAGATATATACTAAGTGACATATAAATCCGAACACCTATTTAAATGGTATTATTTTAATAAAAGTTGGTGAATGTATTTATTTTACTGTAAATAACAAGTGAACAAATTTTCAGCCTTATCAGTTGGACATTCCGGTTTTTATACTGCTTTTTTTTAATTCACTAACGCTCTAAAAATGATTATTTCAGCCGCAGTAAAGAATCAACGTTGGCGGATTTTGGTTCTTGACATCCTTTACGATCGGTTACGATGCCTAGAGTACGGAGACCTGTACGATTTCGTCAACTTGGTGAGTTTGATAGGGGCCGTATAGTGGGACTTCGGGAAGCTGGACTTTCTTTTCGGGCAATTGCAGTTAGAGTGCAAAGAAGTGTAGGTGTGGTCAGGCATGTCTTCGAGAAGGCCGTACGCAAAGAGCAAGGGGCACTGGACGCCGCCGTAGAACAGCAGACCGTGAAGATCGCCGCCTAAGATTATTGGCCTTAAGGGACCGTTTCTCCACTACCAGGTCCATTGCAAATGAATGGTTTGCAGAACACGGAAGACCTATTGGCATGCGAAGTGTTTACCGACGAATGAGACGTTTTGGCTTGTTTTCATACCGGCCACACTGGGTCCTCCCTCTAACTCGAGAACACCGACGTAATCGCCTTGAGTGGTGCAGTCAACGGTCACTCTGGGATCAGGAATGGAACAGTCTTTAGTGACAAGTCTCGATTTTGTTTAGGCATGCACGATGGTCGTGCCAGGGTTAGAAGCCGACGTGGTGAAAGGAGGAATCCACAGTTTTTTGTTGAAGGACATGTTCATCACACTGTTGGAGTTATGGTTTGGGGTGCTATAGCTTATGGTTCCAGGTCACCTTTAATCTTCATCAGAGGTAACATGAACACGCAGCGTTATATCCACGAAGTTCTAGAACCCCATCTTTTACCCTATCTTGACACCCTGGCAGATCCAACTTTCCAACAAGATAATGCCCGACCACATGTTGCAAGAGTCACAATAGACTTCTTTCAACATAATGATGTCACATGGTTACCATGGCCACCAAGATCTCCCGACTTATCCCCAATTGAGCACGTGTGGGATATGATGGGTAGGAGATTGCTCAATTTGCAACGTCCTCCTCAGACTCTAGAAGCACTTCGAGAGGAGTTGGTGGTTGCCTGGAATGAGATACTACAGGAGGACATTTTCCACCTGATCAGAAGCATGCCTAGGCGCGTTGGAGAATGCGTAGCATATCAAGGTGCATCCACACATTATTAAAGGTCAAAGGGCTTTAAAGCAGTGCAATCATTTTGAAATTTTTATCATTTGCTTATTATGCTTCATTAAGTACTTATACAAAATTTTATTAAAATAAAACCATTTAAACTGGGTGTTCGGATTTATATGTCACTTAGTATATTTGCCAATAATTTTTTTCTGGCCTAAAGATGGGTTTCATTTGAACAAGCTTCGTAAATAAATAGGATGTGTTGATGATGGGCATCTAATTCCCATTTAAAATCAAAATACCTTATAACTTGCTTGGTTTAGCTAGAAAAAATTATTTTTTATTTTTGCTGGGAAACAGAATTAGCGGCTGTGAAACTACCTGCAGTAATCGGAAACAAGTTCCATATGTACCTTGAAAATAATTAAACCAAATTAAAAAACAAATAAATACCTGAAAAAAATACATATATATATATATATATATATATATATAAATAAAAAGTTTCACAGTATTGTGGAAATCGCAACTCTCTATCTTTACTCCTAAGTGAGATACGCTGTAATATCATCGAATATGGAACACCGTGTACATGTCATATGACATCCAAAAAAACATACTATGGCGGTTTCTAAAATTTTCGCGACTAAGATTAGAATAACGTATGTCTCAAGAGTGTTGGAACAAAGTGTTTATCGGATTTTTTTTAATGAAGAAATTTATTTAAAGACTAACTAGTTATCGTAAATCACAAATTGATACTTAACTAAACTACTGCGTCTCCATGATAAACCTTCCTAGACATTAAGGCCCAAAAATCTTCTATTGGGCGTGACTACGGCAAGTGTGGAGGATTACCTTTTTTCAGGAACAAAATAAAATATGTTGTCGAAGCCAGTTTTGGGCATCGCTTGAATAATGGCATGATGCTAGGCCTGATATGGTGATTACCATGATGTTCGTGGACAAAGCTTCACCCCCACAAAAGGTTGGGATACACCCCTGTTGGAAATTACACACCAGACGAGGATTTTATCTGCAAATTTCTATTTATGTTTGTATCTAACATTGTCAGCTTTGGGTACCCGCCGAACGAACTTATAGATACTTTTTCTTATTTCCAATTTATAACATCCAAAATAAATAAATGTCAACTGACAGTAAAGTAAACAAACTTTTGTTGATATTATTTTGAGTTTGTTAAAATTAGAGCCAATGAATTTTGTGCCAAAACCTTCAGGACGTACGTTACTATGGCCTTACCGAATGAGTAAGAGCGATTTTTTGTGCTGTCCCATACATGACGAGGTTTTTCAGGCCGATCGTGCAAATGTCAGCAATTTCCCACCCCCACCTGCTCACATATCGGCACGTACCGGAGCAGCGACTGCTTTTGTCTGGATGCCAGCAGGTCGAAATCCAATCATGGCATTCGGCAACTAATATACCGGAAATGAAAAGAGGGCGATCGTCAAAGAGGCATTTTTTAATTCCGAAAATGCGATAAAGAGGAAGCTTCGGTACACAGCATTCCTGCAATTATATTTTTTTGCGTTGGTTCTGTTAGTCGAGCGTCCTTGATTCAATTTGGAAACGGCGGACATACATACCTGGAAAAAACTGTTCATTTGCAGCTCAAAGTGCATAGACCGGCGAGAGAGTTATTGAGTGTTTGGACAAAGTTGAACTGCCCTTTTGTTTTGTCTTTTTCGTTTTAGGAAGTTGCTTGATGAAATTGAGCGACGGGAGTGTCGGTGATGTGTACAAAGCCCTTGGGTTTTACGTAAGTGGACAAGCTCCGCTTGGTCTATAAATCAACCAACGAATTCATACTAGGTAGAAGAAGCAAGTATAGTCAACGCCAAACAAAGTGGCGTGCACGTCATCACGATAAAAATTCCCCGACCTAATGCCTAGGTTTCTATCACAAACAATTGCTCTATTGCAGTTTCATATTAATGTGATATATAAATTGTAAAATGGTCATTACTCTCTTATTATGGTTAATAGTCATATAAACATTGTTATTAAAATATCACATAAGTTGCTTTCTGATAAATTTAGACGCATTATGCGAAATAAAATGTTTTGCAAACGCTCCAATCACTTATCGACATGTAAACGCACTAAACCGATTTCGCAGCGTTGACACATTGTCACCTTGAAACTTATTTAAACTGGGAACTGACATTTGTATTAATTTTGACACTGAATCAATTTGTGGCATTTCAAATCTTTATAAATCCTTTGGCCCCGCATGCTGTAAATCAACAACTGTTTGTTTCAAAACAAAATTATTCATTTTACGAGTAGATAAAGGCAATTTTGGTATATAAAGATGCCCAAACAGTTAAATAGTCGGTGTAAGGAACTCGTGGCCTCGTTAATGCACTACTTTGAGCAAGAAAGGGACAACAACGGGCCTTTGTTGCCTTTAAATGCTGTTCAAGAGGTAGGTTACTAATAATTATATGTAATGTATATTAATAATAGTGAAATTTTATTTCATTTTTTGTAACGTGTTGCTGCTGCTTTAAAAATTAGTTTAAGGACAGTTAGTCGTATTTCCGAGGGTGTGAAAAGTGATGCAAATTTAGAATCGCCCAAGAAAAAGCGGAGTTACATTAAACGTGTAACCAACACAGCGACATTGGATACAAGTGCCATTCGAGAAGTGATCTATAATATGTATCACAAAAGTAAGATCTTATTATAATAACTTATCAGAAATTTTCATTAATTTGTTAACTAAATTATAATGTCATATTACACATGGTTTCAGAAGAACAAGTTACGATACAAACTTTATGGTCTCGATTAAGAGATAGGGCATTATTTGATGGTAGTGCCACGTCTTTAAGGCGGTTGCTTAGAGATCTTGGATTTAAGTGGCTTAAGGACAATCCGCGACGAGGGCTCATGGAACTACCAAGTATAGCTATGAAAAGGGTGGAATTTCTAAGGAAATACAATCAAGCCAAGGTTGAGGCCTTATACCAGTTTGTCTTCCTCGATGAAACTTGGATATTTCAAAATGGGACCATAGGTCGCTCTTGGCAAAATGGAAACCAAAAAAGCGTGAAAGCTATTAAAACAGATGGTAGAAGGTATGTACTTTTACACAATTTGCACTATAAAATTTAAAACTAATATATTTTAGATACATTATATTACATGCTGGAAATGAAAATGGGTTTATTGAGGGTAGTGAAGCGATATTTTCTTCGAAAACAAAATTGAGCGATTACCATGGAGAGATGAACCAGGACAATTTTTTGAAATGGTTTCAACATCAGTTATTAGAAAAATTGGAGAGTTCATCTATGATTATACTGGATAACGCCCCTTATCACAGCATGATATTGAACAAAGTGCCCAACAATGCATGGACAAAAAAAATATCCAAGACTGGTTGACAAATCAAAA